GTCGTCGCGTCGTCGTAGTACGGTTGGTCGTAGAGAGAGTAGTAGTAGGTTACGTTAGGTAGTAAGTAAGAAGACACGTAGTAGAGTAAGACGAGAAGGAGAGGTAGTAGAGTAGAGTATAGTAGGTTCGTTTGTTAGGTACGAAGATATCTCTCTCTCTCTCTCTCTCTCTCTCTCTCTCTCTCTCTCTCTCTCTCTCTCTCTCTCTCCAGCCAAACACTTTATGGACACAATAATATAGAACAGCAAGATTTTTAAATTCAGTATGAAAAAATTTGAATAAGTTTTTTCTATGGGAAGAACTTTGAGTCATGCATCCAAACTAGCCCTTAGAAAGAAGTCAAGATTGAGTTCCTCATGTCTTATTACATATGTAATACACCGCATAAGGATAGTATTATCCAAAGGAAAAAGTTAAATAAAGTTGACACCTTAGAATGTAGAATTAAGGTTCACTACAAAAATCCCATGAAAAACGCCGTTTTGATGTTGGAAAAACATCTAATTGATCATCTCGACATCGAGATGTATAGATATGGAGAAAAGAAAGATTTCAAGTCCCAAAAATAGTAGATCTTACAATACATTATCTGGACCATCCATTTTCAAGATTTCATGCACTTATAGATTCGCTTAATCTGAACCATTTTTGCAGTTTAAATTTTTATAATTAGAGATGAAAATAGACTATCGCGCTGTCCTAAGAATTTTCAACACCAAAATTGCACCTTAGGACAAAGTTTGGATGTGCATCTTACTTTGATTGTTTAAGGTTGCAGCCTTATGCAAACCACACCCTTATCAGAAATTAATAATCAGTATACAAAGAATAACAAACTAAGATGTTACTTACTTCTCGGTAGCTGTTGCTGTCAAGGCAACAAAGGGAACATGTGGAAGAAAGTTCCGTAGCTTATCTAATTGCTTGTATTCTGTCCTGAGGAATAAAATAGAATTTTCAATTCAGATTAATCACATGGTTTAAGGAGTAGCACTTGAAGGCCAAAACAGAACAATGAGAACTACTTAGAACCAGTTCATCAATACATTACCAGGAATAACTCAAAAAATTTCCGTTAGCTAAAATATTAAGCAAATAAAAAGAAACCAGTATTTACAAAAGCTCCTGAACAGAAAGGAATTACGAAAGTAAAACCAACACAATTGTATCTGGAACAGAATCTATTCATACCACATTAATGACTAAACCATATATCAGTCCACAAGTTCAAAAAGGAAGAAAGCTCTTTCATTTAATAATTTAAAGGCAGGAATCCCTAGTTGCATGAAATCCATAAAAAAGAATACTGTGCTTGCTACATCATAACAAGTCTTAGCATTATCAAATAGAACAATATATCCTTCCATCTGCCTCAATTTCTAAGTATGATAATGTGTAAATTTCATTAGTTAAAGCAGTAAATGAAAGTGACACAGAGAGAAAATGTTACGACTCCACCTATCAAATCACATGAGCAACCATGTTATTGGCAACAAATAAGACCACCCATGGTCTCATTTAACCATGATATAGGTAGTAGACAGCTTCTTCATACCAATGTCATGAGGAACCAAACCCAAAAAACTGGTTCTTTTAAAAATCAATTGCATTATTTAGAGAATATTCTACAGTTTAAAAGGTAGAGAAATTGGAAACATAAGGTTACGAATAGGAACCACCTAGCTTGCTTGAGAAGCAATGGACCTGGCACTTCAGAAAGCAAAATACAAATCAATGTCAAGAGAACAACTTCAAATCTGATACGGTTATATTTAGTATTGCAAAGAATCCCCATTCACCAGCAAGGTTCAAAAAAGTGGGATGTGATGCCTAGGCAGCCAGGTGGGGTCTGGCCGCTCAGGCATAATACGGGTGTGGGCACCTCATTTTCAAAGTGCCCAAACAGATATATACAAATATGTGCACTCCAAACATGCATATATAGAAACATGTGCATCTCCAGGGATAAGACTCCTAAATTCATCATCCATTCATCATCATTTTAGCCTTTTCGAAATTAATTGGGGTCGGCTACATGAATCTTGGTTCTCCATTCTGCTCTATTAAAGGTTATACCTTCAATGAGGCCATAAGTACCCATATCTTTTTGGTTTAAACAAGGTGATGACCTTAAACTTTCCCTTAACCCATCCCATGCCCGGATAAAAGAGCATGGTTGTGTTAGGTAGGCAGCCAACATAAAATTTTGCCAAAACCTATCATAGATAAGGTTCCTAAATATTGACTCTAAATCATGGTGGTTGATCTTAGAGATGGATAGCTCAGATGGTTTCTCTCTCTCATCTCACAGATTACCTAGAAATGTTGGATAGTATTTAATCCTAATCTGATTGGGACACCCTAAGGCCCTTAATATAAAAGGAGGGGAAACCTCCCCTCATTCCCTACACCAAATCTCTCTCCACTATCTCTCTTCCATGCCACCTTCTCTCTCTCATCTATCTCTCCCTCTCTCTCTCTAGCTCCTCTCTCTTCTCTCTAAAAGGTGGCACGCCACCCCCATAAGTGTCTGGAATGGCACGCACCACAAAAGAGAGTTGAGGGGGGCATGCCCAACCCCAATTTTAGATCGGGGAAATGCCATTTTGTGGCATGCCCCAAGGTTTAAAAAGAGTTAAATAAAACCCTAATTGTGACCCATGCTCTTAGGCCCATGGTTTTCAAATAAAGGTATCCTAAAGGTGCTTCCCAAGTTCAGATTGATGGATTCAATAGGATCCAGAATCAAGATGCACCATCAGTCAGGTAATCGGGTGTGGGATGTGCTAAGACCTAAGGGAAAACTCCAGTAAGTCTTTCCTTAGCCTCTTTAATTTAATTTTGTTGTTCTTGTCTTATTTTTTATTCCTAAAATTGTTAGTTTATATTTAGTTCAAATAAAGTATTTTGGCAACAAAATTTTAAAGATCATTGAATGTAGGAGATTCATTTGTATTTTTTTGTGGCATCTGTAGATAGAATTTCCAGCAATTAATAGAGGGAAAAAAATTTAATTTATAGTCTGGAAATCTACATAGCCACTGCTTAAATATAGTTCATGGCTCCATGTTGGGCCTAATATCATAACATCATAAACTTTAAGTACTCAAATATTGAAATATGAAACCCCAACCACATGCCCATACTCCCGCACACATTCCAATCGACAATATAATGAAAATAAAATAAAATAAAATGATAAAAAATAAACAGTTTAGTCTTCAGTCTTCATATTTTTAGTAATCATCGATTCTGTAAGGGACTAGATTCCCCCACCTTTCTCCCTCCATCTTATTTCCCTTTTAAAAGGGGGAAAAAAGATGAAATTGTATCTTGCCAGCAAAGGGTGAACCAAGGCAAGCACTGCATAAGAGGCACGAGGCACCGCATTGGGCTTCTAGGGAGAAGGAGCCTAGGAGTCCCACATCAACCTGGGCAGGGCACTTGAGCAGCTGTCCCACATTGATATGGCAGCCAATGTGGAACACTTTTTGCATCCTTGTTTCTTACTAATTACAAAAAGTAACAAAGAAAGGTCAAAAATCAAACCAAAGCAACAACGTCAAGGAATAGTTCATGTGGACAAACTTCAACAGGGTAATAGATCAGACTACAACTTTAGCTCCAAGTAGTTCCAACGTTCGTTACGGCGACAAGGAAACACAATAACCTATTAGAAGCGGAAAGCTAACAAAGAAATGAATACCCTGTCCATGCCTAGTACTTACAAAAAAATACAATCATTTTAAAAAGTGACCGCAGCAGTATCCCAGCGCCTCATATAGCAACGGATGTAAGACAATTATTTGGATTTTGGAGTTCTAAAGAAAATCAAAATGAATAATTGCTAAAAACATATCTCTAGAAATTAATGCTTTCATGAAAGAGAATGACCAATAGTATGCCAACTCCAAGAACCCAACAACATTATGTACAGATATGCCTCAAAACACGTAGCATTTTACTCTCTGCTGTAACCAAATAATAAAGGCGACCATTGCTCGTAGTTCTCATATTTTGCTCCACATAGTAGCATTTAAAATTTATTATCAATATTCCACAGTTATTTCAGGATCTCACTTGAATTGGCAGTGGCTTTCTTTTGCAACACATCAGCTCACTTCAACTGATAACCAAACAAACTAACCAAGCACATTCAATAAATGAGCAATTACATAATTTAATATGCTATTACACCATGGAATAGGACTAAGAGAGCAATAAAAGACGGGCAGACATGCAGCAGGTACATATGCATGCCAGTACATCAACACACAGAACATGCATAAATTCACACTGAGAAATAGATTAATAACTAGTTATGGAGTCATGGAATGAATCATTCCAGAATAAATCATTAAGGCTCATATTTTATGCTAGCATTTGGGTTTCAAACAGTTTGTTTGCACCTTCCCAAGAGTCAGATATCAATAATGGATTATCGTGTGGGCTGTTTCTCTGCTCGAAGGCTGTTAAATTTAGCTCAAAAGTCCGTCAAAAATATTGAGGAAGTTTGAGCAGAGGAACAATACACTCCAACGCTCAATTGTTGACATTGGATGGTTTGGGGAGGTGTGCAAACTCCTTCCAAGACAAATGCTAGTATAGAACAATTTTCTTAAATCATACATATGTAAAACACAAAACTAACCAACTCAAAGATCATACAATTTAAAAGAACTGAAACAAGGCTCACGGACTGATAGAACTAAACTCCATCTAAGTCATTAGAAACCTTAAATGATGCATCTGAACATGCATGCAACCAGAAACCATTGTTCAAGATATACAAATTGAACAGACGAGTAAAGCCAACACCAAGTCATATGAAATAAACGAGTCACAATAACCTGAAATCATGGCCCCATTCTGAAATGCAATGTGCCTCATCAATAGCCAGTAGACAGAGACCAACTACTAACATTTTTGACCAGAACCTACAAAATCAAGTCTCATATTAACGTTTGAGCGACCCTCATATATGTTACTCAGTACAAATCTAAACATTATATAGTATTATAGTACTTTCCCCACAGACAGCTGAGAATGATGTGTCATTTGAATTTTCATTAAAGCGCCAAGTTTCAGTAACAGCATGGATCCATCAGATGTTGAAATGGACGATCCAGATCAAAACCTGTAGCACTTTAAGGGCTCCAAATCCCTTTTTCTTCAAGTATCATGATCATGAGGTCAAGACGATGGATTTGCAGAGTTTTGGGTCCTCAATCCATCGCAAGATGATGTGTTTTTAAGGTGTGGTTCTAGTCAAGTGGACTACAAACGAGATGTTACTGAAACATTTTCAATTTCATATTAACAAAGTACAGAATGAAAACTCAACAAGAAATCAGCAGAAATGAGCTGCACCAAAATGCAACCCATTCAAAGATTACTTGGTAACCTATTAAAAGAAATTCAGCATACCTAAGAATTCATGAGCACGTGATCTTCTTTGATAAATATAAGCTCGTTTGGGTATGTAAAACCAAATAACAGATGAAAAAAGGCTAGGGAGCCAGTTATGCGATCATCGGCAGATTCAATACATGAAATCAGCAACAGAAATAAACCAAAATATACCACTCTGCCAAATAGTTCATTCAATTCACAACTGGCAGTGAAGGGAAAGATAAGAAAGCTAATATATAAAATCATGATTCCAGCACTTCTTAACTTAAAGAATTGTATTTTCCATGTATCACTTAAGCACATTATCAGCAAGGCAATGGAGAAATGTGTAAATCACATGTTCCATCACCATTACTTGAATATATTCCAGAATCATGTGGGTCTGATCTGAAGTGGATATACTGATTCTTAAAAGGATTCAAATAAAAAACATGTTCGAATTTCCAAGAGTTCTGTTTTACCTTAGAAACAAATCAATTGAAAATAACTAAGCGAATAATCTCTGAAGTCCCCTAATAGGATAATCCAGCAGATCTTAATCTGAATGAAATTTATATATACATCTTTATTTCTTAAAGAAAAATGCTTGTCGAATTTACATAGTTTTTAGAAAATTGAAAACAACTAAGCAAATAGTCTCTGAATGCCCCTAATAGGATAATCCAGGAGAACTTAATCTGAATGAAATTTATATATACATATTTAATTCTTAAAACAAAATTCTTGTCAAATTTACATAATTAAAAAGCATATATTATATTGTTCTGATATGTGTGTGTGTGTGCATACACACATGCTCCATCCTAAAGAGTTCCACAGATGTAGCTTCCAAAATATGGGCTTTTTGCTCCAGCGCTAGGCTTTGAAACTCATAACAAGAAGGATAATTGGCAAAGCACAAATTTCAAACAGAAAAAACAGATCTCACAATACTCATAAAAGAAAATCGAAAAAACTCAGACCTCAACAATTGGTACCGCACATAGGAAAAACCCAATACCTATCAGTAATACAGCAAGCTTTCTCTGGAGTCATGTACAAAATGTCATATTGACCATTCTCAGCATTGGAGATGACAGAAGTATCCTTTTGGGTGCTTGCAAGATATTGAGCTCTGATGCCTCTTTGTTTAAGACTCATAACCTGTCAGTTTTAGTTCAATCAATGACATGGCCATAAGAAAAATGAGCTAGAGGTATAGAAGGGATCAATTAACATACCTGGTCTTGCATCAAACTTATCAATGGGCTTATTACTACGGCAAGTTTTCCGGTAACCAAGGGAGGAACCTGGTAGCTGCATCACAGAATCAGTGTTATAATCAAGAAAGTAATAAGATGTTTACAAATTTAACCAATTTAAGACATGAATGGGTTTCAAGATAAAGAAAAAGGTTCACCATATAAAATTAACTAGGAAAGGTTGTCAACATTTTAGAGAAGTGCTTACGGTGGGAATGAGCTCTGGCTTTAAAACAAGTTATAACTTCTTATTACCTTATCCTTGGTCAAGAAACAAGAAATACAAAAGGAGTTTATGCAGGTTAGTCCCCCATAGAATCTGAACAAAAGAATGTGAAAAGATGGTGAACTAAGAATACGTCGATATATGGGAATTCTGTTTTCATATGAAACAAAATTCCCATATATCGACGTGTTCTTAGTTTACCATCTTAATTGCATGTACTATTCCTATAAATCCTGCCTATTTGGAGGCATATATATTACCAATGGTTTAAAAAACGGATCGGTGACCCGGATTGGGCACCTCAAAAACCGATCTGAATCGGCGAATCGGCTGAATCGGTCGGATTAAAGCTTCAAAAAAATCCGAAAAAATTATTAAAATTCATTATAAATGTTGTTTTTTAGGAATCCACTAAAAAATGAGGGTATTACATTATTAACTTTCATTTTTTTTATCAATTTGTGAATATTGAGATGTTCTTTCCCTGTATAAATTTATTTTAACTATTAAATTTGCATCACATAAAAGAAAAATCATAGAATTATCATGGATAAAATATATAATTATATATGGACTATTATAAAGAGTAGACTAATCAATGAAAGAATGGCCATTAAAATCTCGTTTTGGCGAAAAACCCTAACCCGCTAAAAAAACCCAAACTATTACAGCCTAACTAACTATAATCCAAAATTATTACAACCTTATTAATTATAATATTATATACTGAAATTATAATTATTAGTTTACATTTTATAATTATTTTATTAGACAAATAATAACAAATTAAAAATATTTTATAATATTATCTAATTTAAAATGTATTATTGACAACTGTAAGAAAAATAGTACATTACATGATTTATAATGTAAAAATTCATAAATAAAATAAAAGATTTGGTTATCAATGTAATAATTAATAAAATGCGTACAAATTTTGGAAATAACACTTCAATTTTTCAAAAATTTATTTTTTTAGGTTTCTATAATAAATTTAGTAAAAGAGATTGTTAGTAGAAAGATGGAGATTTCAAATAGAATAAACTTTTTATTTTTATTTTTTTTATACCTTTCATATTATTTACAAAAATAATTATACCACTATAAACAACAAAAATTAACGGTTATATAAAAAATTAACTTTTTTATTTTTCATTTTTTTTATGTCTTTTATATTATTTACAAAAATATTTATATTTATACCAACTACTATATACACAACAAAAATATTTATATTTATACCAACCACTATACATACAACAAAAATGCAACACATGCCCAACGGGATTCGAAAACAACAAAAATATTTATACCAACCACTATATACACAACAAAAATGCAACACATGCCTAAGGGGATTCAAATGCAACACATGCCCAAGGGGGTGCCCAAGGGGATTCGACCTTGGGACCTCAAGTAAAAAATTCAAAATCATAACCATCAAGCCATCTAATTACATGTGATTATAAACTGCTGATTAATAGACTATATTTACATTTCATTTTTATTTAATGATGTTTGGGAATTATCCCACATCGAAAGATGGGTATTCAAATTTGGTATATAAATACCTATGCAATATGTATTAAAAAATGTGTATAAAAATATTAAGGCAACCTTGCATGTGCGTTTGGACACACATGTGCGTGTGCGAGTGTGCGTGTGAGTGTGCGTGGGGCACGCTCGCAGTGCGCTCGGACACACGTGTGCCTGTGTGAGTGTGCGTGCAGCACGCTCGTACGTGCCCTTGGGCACACGTGTGCACGTGTGAGTGTGCGTGGGGCACGCTCACACGTGTGTCCGTACGTGGGGCACGCTCGCATGTGTGCTCAGACACACGTGTGCGCATGTGAGTGTGCGTGGGGCATGCTCGCATGTGCGTGTCATGTGTTACGTGTGTGAACCGGATGGGAACCGGCGGTTCCACTCTAGAACAGGGCTGAACCGGATGGGAACCAACGGTTCCACTCTATAACCGGGCTGAACCGGATGGGAACCGGCGGTTCCACTCTAGAACAGGGCTGAACCGGATGGGAACCGGCGGTTCCACTCTAGAACCGGGCGGTTCCCGATTTTCAGTTGGAACCGGCACGGGCACGCGTGTTTTCAAGTCTAACCGAGCGAGTCCGGTTTGACTCGCCGTTTTTTAAAAGACTGTATATTACTGTTTTTTTTGTCGGTAGGTTAGCTGGTAATTAAACTTTAAATGTTGTGTTGCAGTCATAATGAGCCCATATCTCATTGTCTTAGTTATGGACGACTTAACTAGCATCTACAAAATGAGGTATTGTGGTGCATGTTTTCACAGAGGACAGTTTTGATCAATGAGACCCAAAACAGCGCCAACACAAAGTTAGAACTTTAGAGGGAAGCTCTAGAATCTAAAGGTTTTAAAATTAGCCGGACTAAGATAGAGTATATAGAATGCAAGTTTAGTAATAGTCGGAGTAGAGACCAGGAAATAGTTAAGATTAATGACCAAGAAATACCAAAAAGAACGCACTTTCAATATTTTGAATCGATAATCCAAGAAAATAAAAAGATTGGAGAAGATGTCGCATATAGAACTAAAGTTCGGTGAGTGCAGTGGAGATATGGAATCCAAATTTTATGTGATCGCCGCCAACTAATGAAGTTGATTCTATAGGACAGCAGTGAGACTAGCTTTGCTCTATGGGGTGGAATGTTGGGCGGTCAATCCAATTTTTGGCGCACTTCCACATGTAATTTTGGTATAAAAATCTTTTAAGTTTTTCTAATAATCTATTTTCATATCTAATTATAAAATTTTAAACTCCAAAAATGGTTAAAATCAAGTAGATCTACAAACATATGAAAATATTGAAAATAGATGGTCTAGATAATGTGTTCCAAGATACACTATTCTGGGACTCAAAATCTTTTTTTTTTCATATTCATACATCTCAATGTCGAGATGATCAATTAGAGGGTTTTTCAACATTGAAACAACCTTTTATGATGGATTTTTTAGGTGCATCTGTGATTTTACATGTTATGGTTACATCTTTATATAAACTTTTTCCAAAACCAATATACCCATAAAATGATTGTAGCGGAGATGAGGACGTTGAGATGGATGAGTGACAAGACAAGAAATGATAGAATGTGATATGAATACATTCAAAAAAATTTACATGTGGCATCAATAGGTGATAAGATGAGAGAGAGTAGACTTCGGTGGGCAGCCTGTGTGGCACAGACCCAGTACAGCACCTGTTAGGAGGTGTGAGTTAGTTCAAGTGAAAGGCTCAAAATATGAAAGGGGAAGACCCAAAAGGACATGGTTGGAAGTAGTGATATAGGGAATTATGGCCTCACTGAGAGTACAGCCCTTAATAGAGCATAATGGTAAACCAAGAGTCGTGTAACCGGCCACAATTAGTTGAGACAAGGCTTTAACGATGATGACTTTCATCAAAACAAAACTTAAATGACGAAGGAGCAACCATCAAGGTAAATATCTATCTTTTACAATAAAAAAAACATCCATTGATTGCAGGAAAGATTGACCTTTTGCTATCTATACAGTGTCAAGGTTATAAGCAAACCTTGATGGTTTAGAATTGCTTTGTCTTAGATTGCCAAGATTTTAAGAGTAACATAAAGGAATAAGTTTCAACCAAGGAATAAGAGCATGACTTGGAACCCATAATAAAACAAGAATAATAGTGGTGCTGCACTAGGCTACTGAAAGAAGTCCCAAATAATCTACAAACCAATAAATGAGCTTCATATATGTAACTGAATCCAATTGGAGGTATATCTATGTGTGAAAGCTAAAATCTAGAGAAAATGGAGCCCTGGTTGCGAAAAAAACAATGCATATCATCGGATTTGAATTAAACGTAACCAAACTCCAAATGAAAAACAGAAGTATACCACAGAGATTTCCCACTTCCAGTAGCCATGACAACCATGGTATCTCTTCCCTTCAGTACTTCTTCAATGATCTCTTTTTGGTGTGGACGAAAAACAGAATAGCCAAAATATTTCTGCACCCACCAATGAATAAAAGGAATGACATTTAGAAGGTGTTAAACAGAACTCCCTCGCTAATCCAGTTAAAAAGGGAAAACACGAAACTGACTCTAAAATCAACACTAACATACAAAATCAAAAACAAATCTAGTATAAGTTGTTGCAAAGCAAATAAGTATACCCAAAAAGGAATACCTACAAAGGACCAAAAAAAAGAGAAAAAGAACAAAAAAATCAACATCAATACACACCGATATATAATAATACAAATAAAATTAATGATTGACTGCATGCATTGAAAGCAACTTGTTTTTATAATTAATGGTGTTGAATTTGATTAATGGGCATAAATATGTAAGCATACAGGGTGTATATCTCATAAATTTACACTTGACAGAAAAAGGAATCAAGAGAGGACAGAGCCCAAAAATAGCAGCCAGGAAAAGACAAGGGTAAGGAGGGTGTTCATATGATCGAGATGGAAAGCACCTTGATTGACTAACCACTATAACATGTAAATATCGTAACACCAGGTGCATAACAAAGACAAATACAAAAAGATAAAGTAAATTTCTTCCCCAAGTCCAATTCATCATGGACATAAACCACTAAAATGGAAAACCATTTTTGGCAACAATGGCACCATATCTTGCTGATTCGCCACAAAGTTGTGTTCATTCGATCATTTGAACTACTATCTACAAATAGCAAATGAAGGATCCAATGAATAGCAACAAAGTCAAAATATTGAAATACAATGGGCAATTGCCAAGTTTTAATGAACTCAAGCGTACAAGAGAGAGAGAGAGAGAGAGAGATTGGAAAGGAAAAAGAAAAAAGAATCTAGATACTAACTAGCCAAGGATCACTACCAAGCAGAATCAAAAGAAGTGTGCATTCAAAAATTTTGTCAAGTTTGAACAAGTTATAGATCACCTGCAACCTACTCGGTTTTCATTGTCCTATCCAGAACCTACAATGATTTCTAGTGGAAGTTCAATGTCGTTTATGGCCTCAACAGGTCTAGCAATAGAAAAGCATTCAGGACCAAGCCAAATTTCATCGCCTCCCCCTCACCAAATCCATGGGTTATTGGTGGTCATTTTAACCCATCAAATGGACCCATGAAACCAACCGCCTTGACAGTATTAACACTAGCATGATGATCTTCTCGAGCTTCACCTCAAGTCATAGCTCCATCAACGTTCCCCTCAATGGCTCGGCCTACACCTAGTCAAGTCAATCCTTGGAGCCACCACTTTGACCAATCTTGCCCATTTTCTAGTTTCTCACGAATGAGAAGAGAGAATTTCTCTAGTGCTCATTCTTCTGCTCCCCCACAACAAATTTTTTATCATAAACCCATCATGTTGGATACCCTTCCACCACTAACTGGACCTAAACAGTTTTGTTTCGAACTTTCTTGAGTTAAAGTACCAAACTATGACAAATTATTCCGGTCCAGGTGGGCCTCTTTCTCTATTTTTTAGTCGTTGGCTTCAAACTCCAAAAGAAATCGTGTCTCCTCAAGGGGACCATTAGGCAATGGTCCCGAAATACTGCTTAGAATGTTTTGCCCACCGAATAGAACGACCATGATGCCCTCAAAGAGTCAAGGAACCGTACTTCTACTGAATCTTCCAAAAAGCATGAAACTAAAACCAATTTTTTGGAACACCTTAAAAAAGAATAAATTTTTTGGTTCCAAAGATCTATAGTCAAATGGAATTTTGTTGGGAACAAGAACACTGCTTTCTGCCTTAAGATTGTCAGTGCCAGATGCCGGATCCTGTTCCTTCGAAGATCCCCCCGACAAGGACCTTTCCATATAGGTCCTTTCTTTAACTTGCCCGTGGCAGGCTCAAATGCTCCTTAGAGCCTAGTGAAATAGACCAAGCAATCTCTAAATTGGGAAAGACAAGGCCCTAGTACAGACAGTGCCCCAATGGCAATCTTTTCTAGATTTTGGGACACCTTGTCCCATGATGTCCTAGCTTTCTTCAATGAAATTTCTCGCAAGTGGTTATCAGTAAAGAAATGAACGCTGCTTTCATTGCTTTAATCCCCAAAACTGAAGGTGCGAGCGACATAAAGGATTCCAGGCTCATCAGCTTTCTCAATTCCTCCTACAAAATCATGTCTACGGTCCCAAAAACCATATGTAAATCGGTTGGTGATACGATTTCTCCCAACAAAAGCGTATTCATCTACAACCACCAAATTCTATAAGCTATTCACCACATATACTTCTCCAAAATCCCAAGCCCAATCCTTAAGCTGGATTGAGGGAAAACTTATGAACATGTTGATTGGCCCATCTTATCGAATATAGACCAAGTTCTCCACTGATCTGTGCATGTATCTTTTATGCCCCTTTCTGTGCTCTTATTAATGGCTATGCCAAATGCCACTTCTCTGCAAATCATGGTATTCGTAAAGGAGACCCCATCTCCTCGTTCCTCTTTGCTACAGTGGTGGAAGTTTTCAGTAGAACTCTCTCTAAACTCTTATCGATGTGGCTCACTCTTGGGTTTTAAATCCTCTTATCAGGTGATGAGATATATCATCTCCAATGAGCAGGTGATACCCTTGTGTTTTGCAATGCATCTGAAAGAATAGTCAACAAGCTTCGGCTGTTCCTTTGCCTTTTTGAATGGCCAGGGGAATGAAAATCAACATGGCCAAATTGAAGCTTATAGGTGTTGCTATCTATAGCAATGACCATGCTACCTTTGCTTCTAGATTAGGTGTGGGACAAACTGCATGTCTTCCAAGTACCTTGGCCTTCCTTTGTGTCTCAGGAAACCAAAGAAGAGTTTCTGTGACCCACTTGTAGAGAATTTCAAACCATCTGACCCTGTGAAAAGGAAGATTCCCCTCCCTAGGAGATCATAATACTCTTCTCCATCATCCTTATTTCCTTTATTTCTCATTTCATTATGCTTGAGTGTGTCATCAAAATTTTAGAGTGCCTTATGAAGTCTTTCCTTTGGTTGGGAGAGGCCTCCGAGCATAAAATCCACATGATAGCTTGGAAGGTCTGCCAACCTAAACACCTGGGAGTGTTAAGAATATGCATTTAAGATCTATGAATGTGGCTCTCTTGTGAAAATGGTGGAGACACCTCACATCTCATCATGATCTCCTTTGGCATGAGGTCCAGGTCAACAAGTACATGACTAATAGTATCGGTTGGTTCACAAAGAATAGACCTAACCCTAACTCTTCTAGTATATATAGCAGCAGCTATGTGTGTGGAGATAGGTTCATGTGATTCATTAGACACAAAGCTAATAAGGTGACAACAGAGTCTCCTTCTGGAAGGATCACTTGGATTGGTCATCAACCCTTACTTGACACGTGATCAGCAACTCTTTCTTGTAGCTAACCGTCCCAATGCCACTATTGCTCAATTGTTTGAGTTTTTAAACAGTAGGGTCATTTGGACTCGAACATTTATTAAGACCCCTGTTGGACCCAGAGGCCAAGGACCTATTAAATTTAGTTCACCTGCTACAGCCTGCTAGTTATCAAAAATTCGGCTAATGACAAGATCATTTGGACAAAAACCAAAGGAAAATTGTTTCATGCAGGCTGGATAGCATTTCTACAATATGCAATCCCAATGTATAAAGCATCCATCTTAAAGATGGCTGCAAATAGGTGGTTCAACTAAAAACTATTGAAACTAACGTCCAAATGTTTTATTAATAGAATTATTATTTCTAATTCTCAAAATTTATTTATTTATTTATGTTCATGATCTCCATGTTAGATATTACATGCGCATAAAAATTAAGTCCTATAATGCATCTCAAAAATAGATTTTTAAGAGGTGACTCATTTGTACATGGACTCATAGAAACCATGTCCAAAACCAAATCCAGAAGCTTTATTGTCTATTTCTTTTACCAAGCACTCTCTGTGTTCTACCCATCTACCTCCACTCTGATTATAACATGGATTAACCCCATCCCAACCGAAGTACAGGCATTCTCCTGGCTGGACATTTATAACCGTTACCTAACTATGGATTAACTGCAAAGAATAGGTTTTCCTCTGGTAAATCATTGTTGTTATGTATTTGGAAACGGAAGAAACACACATCCACCTCTTTCTCCCATGCAGTGTGGCTTACTCTCTAGGGCCAAATGCTAAGAGATTTCAATCGGCAATGGATCACTCCAACTACGAGGAAACAACTTTTCTCCACCTACTTCTCAACACCATACCTCAAATCAGATGTATTTTTGTGGAGAGTCTCCATACTAGCTATACTGTGGATAATCTAGGAGAAACGTAATTCTAGAAATTTAGGGTTAAGAAGAGGTCAATTCCTGTCATAGCTGACTGCACCAATGATCTTACCGTTTTTTGGGCATCAAACTTCAAAGATGTCAAACATTTTTTTAGGTCTGACTTTGCCTCCAATTGGTTGACCATCATCAAGCACAAGGCTCCAAAGCTCTGGCCAGAGAAGGGACAGCTGAGGGTGGTGCCACATGCACTACTTGAAGAAGCCTCTCAACTTCCATTGCACTTTTGCAGGGTCCATGTCATTTTCTAACCTTTTCTTTTTTGGATGACTTGCTGCAACTCCCTCTCCACCTCTCTATCTCTTTCCCTCCCTCTACTTTTTCCTATTTCCCACCCTCTCTATACCTCCCTTTATCATTTTCTGCCTTACCCATCTTTATCTCGCTCAACCTTTTACCCTTTCCCTCTCTTCTCTACACCTCTCTTTTCCTATCTTATCTCTAACTCATTCTCCCGACCTATCACACTCTCTCTATATATTTTCAATCTCCATCGATCAATGTCATTTTCTATCTAACTTTCCCACACTCTCTCTCCACTATTTATGCCTTCGACCTTTCTAATTATCTTCTCCTGATTATCTAGAAATTACTTTCTCATATTTTCCCCACCTCCCCACCCCCCTTTTCCAGTTATTCTTCAATCTTTTTTGCCTTCTGTTGTAAAGTTGTCTGTCTTTCAGCAGGTTTTTTTAATTCTTTGGTGTCTGGCTGACTGCACCAAAGACTATCACAAGGTGTTGAGCTCCCAAATTTGTAGTAGCCGTCATCATTTTTTTATCTCTCATTTGTTTTTAGACTAATTTTTCATGTAGAGCACCCGACTTGTGGTGCCATCCTCACTTCTCATGAGACATTGTAATCATTAGTATACTTAATACAATTTCAATGTTTCGGGGGTGGGGGAAGCCCTAAAGGCCCCAGTTATGGGCCTCCTCCATCTTCACAATCCTCATAGGAAACGTCTGTGCATCAACACATTAACTCGAAACACCATATTCATGGGATACCTTTTATAATCATGATACAGGTTTCCACACTTAGGCTTGAAGGCAAAGTTTACAGTTTAAACAGCTCAAAAAGAAGAACAGTATGCATCTAATATTTGAAAGGCATGTAAAGCATGTATCTCTCGAAATTTTAAAAAACAGCCACATCAAAGTGAGAAAAAATGTCCAGAACATTAATCATGGAATGATGGAAACAAGGTTGGTCAATACACCCTTAAAACATAGTGTTCAAAGGTCAGCCCAAGTTAACTACAAGCCTAATCAATCAAATCATGGTTGCAGGAGGCATATACCAAATTAGATTGCATACTTTGCATGAAGCACAGCCCAGGTCTTCATAAATAAACATCAGGTGAGAACGTTGTATTGATTACTAACACGTATGAGCTAGCTAAAGTGTTCTTTTTTGTCTTTTTGAGAAGTATATTTCTACAACTTACACGGCTTAAGTTGGTGTCATGAAAAAGTTCACACGCACATATGGGCGCATGCACACTTATACACACACAATCACATAGTTTTTAGATAAAACAGATGCCAAAACACACACGCTCAACACAAATATACCCTTATTTAATGAATAATCTACAGACACACAAAACAGTGCGGCGCCAAAACACAGGCACACACACGTACACGGAGTTTTTAGATAAAACAATGCAATGCACAAGCATACACGTGCACACACATACACACACGCCAAAACATACACACACAGTCTTCAGATAAAACAATGCAATGCACAAATGCCTTGTGCACACAAATGCACGTAGTTTACAGAAAAAACAATTCAATGCCAACACTGGCAGAACGCTAAAAAACTGAAAGTATAGGATATAGACTAAACAATCATTACAACAACCAGTGCCCTAATTATTCCAGCAAATTTAATAATAAAATTATGCTAGAGGGCTATCAAGGCAGAGACCAGACACGGGACAAGTATTATATCAACTGAAACCCCTGATTATTTTTCTGTTAAGAACAAAAGCAAATACAGAGCCCCTGACCCAGATGCATTTTTTCATGGTCCGAAACATTCTCATTTTGGACAAAGCATTGTTGCCTCCATGCCTTAAAATCCAGAAGAACCATTCAATTGAATTTGCTTAGACCCAGAAGTATTTCCATTATGACCTAAAAGGAAAACTATATTGGGCGTTGTTCCTCATTTGGTATCGATTGCTATAGCCATAAAATGGATGGAGAATCACAGAAAAGGAAGGTGATGAGAGAGTAGTAGGGTTTTAGTACCTTGAGGACAGCAGCCATCCTTGTCCGGGGAACGGAAGGGAGAGAGTTACAGAGAAGAGAGGAACTACTACAGTGTTAGGGATTCTCTCTCTCTCTTGTACAACTACAGTACTAGGGTTTTACACTCTCTCAGACGAATAACATTCTTCACCATTGCCTTTAAAATGCGCGCCAAAAAATGAGCGAGCTTCCCCTCTCTGAGCCTCTCTCTTATTACGTATACCTTTTCGAAATTTGAGGCGCGTATTTGCTTTTTGTGTCAGGGGACGCAATTCTACAATTGCGTCCCTGAGCATCACAAATCGATGCTAAGGATATTGTGAATAAAGTGTGAAAAATAATTATATAAAATTGCAACTTAAAATATAATATAAAATTAAGGTGTAGCTTAAAAATCCATCATAAAAAGTTGTTTTGAAGTTGGAAAACCGATCATTTCAACAACAAAAATGTATAAGTATAAAAATAAATTTTGAGTCTCAAAAATAGTACATCTTGCAATATATTGTCTATACCATCTATTTTCAAGATCCATGAAGATCTACTTGAGTAAATCATTTTGAGCCTCAATTTTATAATTAGAGATGAAAAATGGATTCTCAAGTCATCGTCATACTTTTTTACACCAAAATTATATATTATAATAAATTTTGGGGGTGCATCTTACATTTGTTTGAGGTTGCAACCTTATGCAAACCACATCGAAAAAAATTAGTCCTACACAAAAACAAATTAAGGGTCTAAATTTATTCTTTTAAAATTGTCATTTTTAAATTTTAAATTTCCCATGCTGAAGATTATATATTCTTAAATGATTAAGCTCAAAATGATTTATCCAAACAAAAATTTGAAAAGGTTTTTATGGTTTCCCTATAGCATAGAAGTTCTATCCTCCCCCTACCATCTAGCCGTCCAATTTTGATCAAGAGAGCCACTCATAGTTTGATCTTAGATCCGACGTCTCAAAGGATTTTATTTTTAGTTTTTTTTATACAAATTTTATGAATATAAAATTTGGTACGTGATCTTTTCATTGGGACGCACCTATAAAAAATATTAAAAATATTTTTTTGATAAATAAAATGACCAAAATAACTTTTGAATTTTCAAGGGTATTTTTTATCATTTTATTTTATTGAAAATATTTTTATATATTTTTCGTTAATGAGAGTTTAATACATAAATAGACGTCCAAAATTTGGTGCCAAAATAGTTTATAGAAAAAAATAAAAAATAAAATAGTGTAGAGACGTGAAATTGTAATTGAGACAATATTAACCTCCATTCATACTGGATGGTTGGATAAGGGGAATGATATAACTTCTATGCTGTATGAAAAACACATAAAGCTTGACCAAAAAAATTATATTAAGTGCAAAATCCATCTCAAAAATGGGTTACAGAAAGAGGGCGCGTAGCAGGGATCGATGAAAACCATGTCCGGAAGAAAGTTATCGCCAAAATACTTAAGGTTGCGCCTCATGCAAGGCCTCCAAATCATTGGGGAAATATGTTGCTTCATGTAACAAAATATATATTTTGACCTTTATAAAAGGAAAAAGTTAATGTAAAATTGCAACTTTATAGTGATGAAATAAGGTGTACCTAAAAAATATTACAGAAGAGAGTGTTCCGGCATTGGAGAACTCTCATCTTGACATCGAGATGAGTGGACATGAAAAAAAAGAATTTCAATGTTGAAAAAATAATGCATATTGTAAATAGTTTTCTAGATTGTTTATTTTCAAAATTTTCAAGTGATTCTTGATTTGCTTGATCTTTATAAATTTTAAAATTTAAAACTTATATAACTGAGAATGAAAAGAGATTATCTAACCAGCATAAGGATTTCAACATTGAACGACATTTCTAAGTAAATTTTATAGCCGTGCTTTTTTTCACAGTATAAAGAGACAACCTTATACAAAACTCACCATTTATAAAATTGGAAAAATCCCTTTTATAAATTCGGAAGAGTTTATTGTGTATTGGGGGACACAATTCCATGTTTGCATCCCTTAATCATCAAGATGGATGCAAATAGTGGTGCTCCCAAAAAGATCAAAATGATTGGTCAATTTTTACTGAATGAGTCCTCAAAAGTATTTTTTTAATTTTTTAATTTTAATTATTTACATATTAATGATTCTCAGGTTGGAGATTATCTATACTTAAAATGTTGGAGTCAAAATCCATCTTAAAATGGACAATTGAGAGCGGATGCACCTCTAAGTGTGTGTCAGCCGAGACATATAAACCGCGTCCTATAAATTTTGTAGCTTAAAATGCTTACCTGATAGATCTACAAACATTTGAGAATCGTAAATATTTGACAGTATACGAGGGCTTAAAATCCTTTTCCTCAATATTCATTCATTATAAAGTTGAGATGATCAATTTGAGGGTTTTTTGACAACTTTTCTTGAGGGTTTTTGTAGTGCACCTTACTCCAACAGTCTACAGTATGCCAAGTGGAATCATGAATCCTAAGTCGACTCGAACCTGGAGAGTACCCAGCCAAATATCCCTCTAACTTGGGCTAGTTGGCTGGTGTACCCTTTCTTCTTCTTTTTTTCTTTTTTTCTTTTTTTTTTTACAACCTTTAATCCATATCCGGGATCTATTTTGATCAATTTGGATCCAAATGATCCACCTAAAGCCCTAAACTTCTACCCATTTTGTAAAATTTTAAATGTGGGTAAGGATTTTTAATAACATACCCTATATTTGAGCCATAAACCCAATCCGCCGTTGTTGCAATCTCCCTCATTTATCAACCAAATCATCATCATGAGACTCAAAAACTTGATAATGGGGCAATCTAAAAGTTTCCTATAAAAAATTGTTGAACCAAAATCAAAATATAATAAATTAAAAGATCAAATTTCGGGGGGCTTCTATCCTTGTGGAATCAAGACTGCATCTTATTCTGAGTTTATAGCTCTCTTTCATGGTTTGAGATTTTTTAAAGAAATAAATGTTGGTTATGCCATTGAAGGGACTCGAAAAAACGGGCTTCTTGAACTTGAAATTGGTAATATTTGATGACTATCTCATTTTTTTTCACCAAATTTGCCCAAAATTGCCGTCTAGTTTTCCTATTATATTGAAATACAAAAGTCTTAACAATATTATCTGAAACAAAATAAAATATCTTTGAGTTTTTTTTTCCCTTCGTTTTTTTGCCTTCTACGGTCAATGTGTCCTATTATTCTAATTTTTTATTTTAAAATTATTTTATACACTTTTGTTTTTTTTTTGGGTAATTCAGTGGGGAAGACAATCCCCTACCGTTTTTTCGATAGATTGGGAAGATATATTTTAAAGGTGTTAATTGGGGGTATCAACCATATGAATGAATACTACGATGTGGTACTTGAGTGTGGCGATGCTACGACTACGACCCTAGCCCCATTCCTTGTTTTATACACCTTATTAGATAACAAGTAATTAAAATTTGAATGATATTTTATAGTAATGTTGTGTTTATTTTTTATTTTGTTTTGTTTTTTTGCTCGAATCTAACTCTCTAAGTTGGGCAAGCCAACTCAGGCCTAGCATGACCTGTTCAGCTTCCCGAGCATGGTTTAAATACTGGTTGGCAACTTATACGAACTTTTAACGGATTGCAGTTTATATATGACATCAATCTTAAAGAATCGAAGGAATGCTCGCCTCCAATTATGAGCTTCGAAGCTCAAAAAATGGTGTGGACAAAGCCAATATTTAAAATTTGAAAAGTTTGGAAGTGGATGATATAGATTATGTTTTACAAGATGCATTATTT